CTACCTGGGACACACCTGAAGGGGCAGGACCCTGAGGGGGGAGGGGGTCTACCGGGGGGGGACCTGGTACAAGGAAGAGCGGTGGCGGGGGGAGGGACGGAGTGCGGTAGGGGAAGAGGCGGTAGTAGGGGACCGACTCGTCAAACGTGACGTCCTGGGAGGACAGAACACGGCGAGAGGTGGGGTGGTAGAACTGCCACCCTGGCGCGTCAGGGGGGAAGCCAAGGAAGACGCAAGGAGCAGCACGAGGGGACAGCTTGTCCGCAGACAAGTCGCGGACAAACGCCCGAGATCCCCAGACACGGAACGCAGACGCATCGCCAACCTTCCCCGTCCACAGCAAGGCTGGGGAGGTCTCCGGCATGGAGACCCTGGGGTGAAGGTTGATCTGATGCGCCGCGTACCGAACCGCAAACGGCCACAGAAAATGGGGGGCAGCCGCATGCATCATGGACGTACGGGCGACGTCCATGACCATGCCAATGCGGCGCTCAGCAATCCCATTTTGCTGTGGAGAGTCCGGAAGCGTGAAGGTCTGGCGGATGCCTCGTGCACGACAGTAGGCTCGCAGAAGGCCAGAGGAGAACTCTCCACCTCTGTCAGAGTGCAGACGCAGAACAGGAAAGTCCGAGCCGAAGCTCTGCCTGAGCTGGAGACGAGCTGCGCGGATCCAGTCGATCAACACCTCAGTGACATCACCCTTGCTGCGCAAGGGGAAGACTGTGGTGTAACGCGAGTAGTCGTCAACCACCAGCAGGAAGTAGCGCTCGTGACCCTGTCCACGGACGCGGGCCGGGCCCCACACGTCCATGTGAAGCGTCTGCAGCGGGGCCTCTGTCGGAGGAAACTGGGAGGAGTGAGGGGCGGCAGCGGACGCAGGTAGGGCCAGGCCCCGGAGGAAGGGGAGGGAGGGACCGGGGAAGACCAGAGACAAGGACACGGGAGGCCATGCCTCGGAGACGAAGCAGGGAGGGGTGACCAAGGCGGTGGTGCCAGAGGAGAGTCTCGTGAGACAGGAGGCGACACGAACAGGGGGCAGACTCAGGACCAGACCTGGACGCTGCAGCAAACACCTGACCCGACGCAGCTACCTGACCAGACGCAGTGACTGGAGGAGACGCAGTGGTCAGTGTGTACAGGCTCGACCCCGGCCGACGTGTAAACGTGGCCAGGTGTCGGCCTGTCCGAGCGTCCGTGCAGTGGGTCACCCGCTGACTCGCAGGAGTGAACTGGTGAACCCCCGCATCCTGTAGGTCAGCACCACTCACCAAGTTCGTAGAGAACGAGGGGAGGTAAAGACCAGACAGGGTGCCAGAGGGGGCCGCCGGACACGGGAGGACAGTGGAGAAGTGAGCAAGGACAGGACCCCCAGAGGGGTCTGCCAGGGAGACCGCAACCGGCTGACTGAGCGGCGTAAGCGTGGTGCGGTCTCGAAAGAAGGAGCGGGAAGCACCCGAGTCAAGAGTGAAGGTGTGTAAGGCCTGAGACGACGTGGTACCTGAGAGAGCAGACTCACCAGCACCTGGGGCAGCAGACGCACTAGCACCTAGAGCAGCAGCCTCACCAGCACCTAGAGCAGCAGCCTCAATGCCCGGGTCAGGCGGAACACACAGGTAACAGTCACCCTCATCACTAGTAGGCAATGCATACATGGCAATGAGGATAGCATCATAGTCAAGAGTATAGATATCTACCCGCAGCCGAAGCAGCTCCACCCAGTCGGGGAGCTCAGCCGCGTCGCCAAACTCCGTACGCCAGGCGTCGCTCAGACGGGCGAAGCAGCGGGACTCTGCGTGACCCAACGTCCGCAAGGCTGACCAGTCCGAGCACCAGTGCGAATGACGTACGGACAGCGAGCAGTACCCCGTGACCCGTCACGCTGAGCGTACCACTCACGAAGCTGCTGGGGCGAAAGGACTGCTCGCGGACGACGCTGAAGCTGCACCTGGCCACTACAAGCAGCTGCCGAACTACTCACTCCAGGACGACTCCCACTACGGCCACCCCGACAACCCCAACTAGCGTACCACTCACGAAGCTGTTGGGGGGTGAGGGACTCACGCGGGCGACGCTGCAGCTGCACCTGGCCACTACAAGCAGCTGTGGAACTACTCACTCCAGGACGACTCCCACTACGGCCACCCCGACAACCCCAACTAGCGTACCACGCACGAAGCTGTTGGGGGGTGAGGGACTCACGCGGGCGACGCTGGAGCTGCATCTGGCCACGCCAGGAGCAGCAGTAGCAGTAGAAAGAGCAACAGCAGTAAGAGCAGTAGTAACAGCAGTACGGGCAGGGCAGTGCTCACCAGTGGCGAGAAGGGCAGGCGTACGACGGCGGCAACGGCGAGGCCGCTACCACTGTAGAGCGAGAGCTCCGCGGCAGCTGCAGGGGTGGCTGCTCCAGGGGCGGCAGTTGTAGGGGCGACTGCTCCAGAGGCGGCTGCTCCAGGGGCGGCTGCTGTAGTGGCGGCTGCTCCGGGGGCGGCTGCTGCAGTGGCGGCTGCTCCAGGGGCGGCTGCTGCAGTGGCGGCTGCTCCAGGGGCGGCTGCTGCAGTGGCGGCTGCTCCAGGGGCGGCTCGGCTGCTGGGCGACTCGGCGGCTCAGCTGCTGGGCGGCTCGGCGGCTCGGCTGCTCGCTAGGGGCGGCGACGGGGCCGGGTAGGGGCAGCGACGGGGCCGCTAGGGGCGGGGAGCGGCGACGGGGCCGCTAGGGGCGGCGACGGGGCCGCGTAGGGGCGGCTACGAGGCCGCGTAGGGGCGGCGACGGGGCCGCGTAGGGAGGGAAGCGGCGACGGGGCCGCTAGGGGCGGCGACGGGGCCGCGTAGGGGCGGCTACGAGGCCGCGTAGGGGCGGCGACGGGGCCGCGTAGGGAGGGAGGCGGCGACGGGGCCGCTAGGGGCGGCGACGGGGCCGCGTAGGGGCGGCGACAGGGCCGCGTAGGGAGGGAGGAGGCGACGGGGCCGTTAGGGGCGGCGACGGGGCCGCGTAGGGGCGGCGACGGGGCCGCGTAGGGAGGGGAGCGGCGACGGGGCCGCTAGGGGCGGCGACGGGGCCGCGTAAGGGCGGCGACGGGGCCGCGTAAGGGCGGCTACGGGGCCGCGTAGGGAGGGGAGCGGCGACGGGGCCGCTAGGGGCGGCGACGGGGCCGCTAGGGGCGGCAACGGGGCCGCGTAGGGGCGGCGACGGGGCCGCGTAGGGGCGGCGACGGGGCCGCGTAGGGTGGGGAGCGGCTACGGGGCCGCTAGGGGCGGCGACGGGGCCGCGTAGGGGCGGCGACGGGGCCGCTAGGGGCGGCGACGGGGCCGCGTAGGGGCGGCAATGGGGCCGCTAGGGGCCGCAAGGGGCCTGGAAGGGCGGCAACGGGGCCGCTAGGGGCGGCGACGGGGCCGCTAAGGGTGGCGCGAGGGGCCGTGAGAGGGGCCTCTAAGAGAGCTCGACAGAAGGGCGGCCCACAAGGCGCGCCTCGGGCAGGAGCGACTGTCGCTCCGGTCAGAAAAAAAAAGGTTTCAGTGGTGGGCCCAAGGAAGCGTTCCCACTAGGGAACCTGCTCTATACCATGTGAAGAAATGAGGAATGGATTGACTAAGGGAAAGTTGGGTACAAAAGCAAACCCTAGAAAACTGTACCCCATATGTGCTACCCCACTATAGCCTACAGTAGCTATGTCATATAAATTTGACATGTACTACTCTGCATGTTTTGGTCGCCGTTTCCATTTTTGCGTCGCTTCATGGTGCGCCATTTCTCCTCTGTTTCCAGCTCCTTGTTACTTTCTCGTTTCTTTCGTTTGCAGCTCGTTCATTTATTACGTATGAGACTAAGACAGTGGAACATGTCTGTCGTCGTGTGCGGTACCATCGGTATGCGGTTGATGGTAAGTATGCGGTTTTTGTGTATAGCAAATGTTTTTACCGCTAACCCCATCGCGCCCTCAGCGAGGTGCGTAACTGTAACCCCTATTGTGTATATACTTATTTTACAGGGGGTACCTGTTACTGCAGCGTTATCGTCAACCAGAATCGCAATATGTATATATTTCGGCAATAAAGCATACTCCATTATTACTAACCCCAATGCTGAATGGTGAAAACGCAAACTTGGTTTGCTTATTTAACATGTGTACATGTCCTGTGTTTTCCAGGTTACATCCGTTTCCTAACTTGCAGAAGTTTTCTTCTTTCAGAGACGCATGTCTAGAAACCTAGGAGTGCAGTCTAAGTTAGGCGTGGGTGTAGATACGAAGATGTCTACAGTTTGTGTGTGCATTGTGAATACTAATTACATTGTACCTTTTGCTAGTGTCGGGTGAATCAAAATCGTCGCAGGGCTTTTTGTAGAATTCGCCAGCCAATCGTAATTTGTTACTGCACACCAAATTGCAGGCTCCGATTGGTCAACATGGCAAGATTACGTGCGTCGATCAGATTCGTATCCGACGGTTAAAGTTAGAGTACAGTTACCGCCACGTCAGCATGTTTCAGTTTCATCTCGAGTACGTCGTACGACACGTGGCGTTTTCGTGACCCTTTGCAAAGGTTGCTCAAAATTGACGGGAAAGTTACTTTACTGCATTCTAAGTCAGTTGCGTCAATGTGTACTGTTAGTGACGGAAGAATGACGGGAAAGTTGCTTTGCAAGTGACGTGAGCACCCACGATTTTGAACCTATACCTTTTTTCTGCGAGGAGAAAGTAACCCTAAAGTGACGGTACAGTAACTTTGAAGTTGGTTTTTGCACTTCCCTTTTTCCGCAATGAAATACGCCACCATGCTTAGCTTTATCACCGACCAGCGCCCGACTTACCTTATCAGCGGCACGATCTAGACCCGTGCTCCTCAGGGTCTATGCTTGCTTCCCACCGCTCTTATAAAAAGCACCGAGAACTGAAGTACTCATCAAATCAAGTTTCCATAATCTCAACGATTCTTTCCTCAAGCTTCCTCTTCCAGCCCAAGGCACATCATTTTCGACCCACTTCATCATCAGCCGCTGCAGCCATGAGGCAATCCAAGATCTTAGTCGCTCTGCTCGCGCTCTCCCTGCTCGTATCCCTCGCGCTGGCGCCGTGCCGCGCGGATGAGATGGTCGCTGAAGACGACGCCGACGCCAACGTGTCGGACGTCGCCGATCTTGCAGACGCATCGCCGTCGGGTGCGTTAACTCACTTCTTCCCTACAGATGTGCTCTGTATCTTCCTTTGTCGTTATTCCCCCTTCGCGCCCCCGCCTCGCCTTGCCCATCAATTCAGGTTTCGTGAATATGTAACGCCATTGTTTCATGCTTTCCCCTTCCTTGCGTTTGGTGGTTTCCAGGTGTTGTGAGGGCACTGTTCGGTGCGAGCAGGCGGTTCCTGTGGCTCCATCCTTCCTGTGATTCCTGCTTTTATCCGCTGATCTCATTTTGTTCCTTCCCTCCCCATTTCCAGATCTGATGAGCAAGATGTTCGGCGCAACCAGGCGGTTCCTCTGGTCGAGCGAGATGCACCGCATGCTGTCGTGCAAGTCGGACTGCGAGGAGAAGAACAAGGAGTGCAACACAGATTACAGCGAGTGCAAGCGCGAGAACAAGGACGACGAGCACAAACACCACAAGTGCTCGCACACGTACAAGAAGTGCAAGAAAAAGGCCAAGAAGTGCCGCTCTAAGTGCGACTAGAGTCAAAGAGGCAGAACGTAGCAGCGAGGGGACTCGCATACAAAGAAACAGGCGGTAGTGAGTGGGATCAGAGGGTAAACCAGGGTAGGATTTCCTGGTTGACATACATGTAGGAAATCTGACTTAATGCCGACGAGCATGAAAAACTGTAGTCTATACATCACAAACAACCCTCGTGGGGTTTCGAGGGAGTTTGGGGGTCCCAATTTTTTTTTCAGGGGGGTTCGCCGCGATTCGTGCTAGATTGGTCGAAATTTGGCGGGTGCAACCAAAGCGCGTCAATTTTGGCTCGAATTTCATCGAGCCGCGACATTGAGGAAATCGCGCTGCTATTTCTGTGCAATTTCGTGTCAACAATTTGACCAATATAACACCACCCTTTAAGGAGTCCGTGATTGGACCATAGAGGGTATAATTTTGGTCCAATCTTACACTACAACTTGCCATTGTTTTAGTTACACAATTATATTTCAGCAATGTTATTATAAATCTAAATACTATCGACATTCTTTCCACATGCTTTAACGAAAGGGTTATCAGCTAAGACAATATTGTGTGGATCTCCTAGCAATGTTTAAGTCAACAGGCTATCGTTGTCTGTGGGAGGCCCCCATGGTTATGTACATGTACAATGCAATAGCAGATTCATCCCCTAAGTTGATACTTATTGAGCAAATAAGCAGTGTCGCTATGGAACGCCTTGATAACGTGCACCTCCCTATAAATTGTGTCGGCGTCGATCACAGAATAAAGTGATCGTCCGGGAGTCCAAGCAAGCCGGGTGCATCCAGTTTTCGCATCCTCTCCCGTCCTAGTCCAGTACTTGACATATGCCAACTCCTTGCAGCCCCCGACCATGGTATGGAACAGAAGCAATAGCTTTCCATACCATTCAGTATTGCTCTCATCTCGCGCAGTCCCCTTGACAGCCACATCTGAGAACCATGGCCTTGAGTATGAATCAGGGGCGGCTCTCACAAAATGAGCGACACGTGAGAAGTGTTCTCCCTCGGCTGCCGGAATTGCCATTGTCGTGTGCGCCTGCAAGTACAAAAGTACAATGGCACAGACGGCGAATCTGAATGCTTCTATGTCAACCTACTGCAGCTAAGAGATGCGTTGCAAAAGCAGCACCCCGCATTGGGCGCCCAGCGACAAACCAGCCACGACAGTCTTGGAGTCCAGTGCCTGCCCGATATTCCACACTTGGGGGGTAGAGGGAGATAGGGAGGGAGGGGGGAAGGAGCAAGGTTTTTGGGAGGAGGAGATTGTGCCTTTTGAAATGGAGATAGGGGGAGGAAGGGTGAAGGTTTAGGAAGATAGGGCTGGTGGCAGCTCGTGCGGCAAAACCCTTGTTTTACACCTGTTGGCAAGACGGAGATATGGCGGAGGGGGGAAGGGGAAAGGGCGTGAGGATTTATGGCTGCAAGGTACGAGGAATGGGGAAGGTGGCAGGGCGTGAGGATTTGAAACTGACGAGCTCGTAATGCGCATTTTCCACACCTGGCCATCAGAGGGAGATAGCTAGAGTGTCAGGGAGGCAGTGAGGGAGGGAGGAAGGGAAAGCAGGAGGGTTTACCAGCAGGGAGGGAGGTGAGGGAGGATGGAAGTGGGAAGGGAGAGATTAGTGAGCAGTAGAGGCCCCTTCCGTGTGTAGTACGAAGTCTGCATGGTGACGAAAACGCTTTGCATGCTATGTAATCGGCGGAATCATAGGGTTACAATCTCATACTGGGTAAGGGTTTAGGGCATAATGAACATACATGGGGTGATCCAGTGTGTATGCAGCAAGAGATCCTTACCCGAACCTGGGTTGGCGTCAGGCCCGCACGTGCTAGTGCCGCTTTGAATGCGGCATGTGCCTCGGGGTGCTGCTCGCTCCACCCTTTCACGAAATTGTTGGGAGACTCGGTTGCCCCAGTTGGTTCTACTGGGAAGAAATGTGACTCCTTGGTCATCACACGGCTGCCTTCTTCAATCGCCTGTAGGTAGGAGAGTGGAGCTTATGGTTGAACCATGATCACTATCGTGGCCAAGTGCGCGAAGAATACGAACGTACATACCGATGCCATGGCGGTTTCGCGGCCTTGGTCCGATTCCTCGTCCTCCCACAAATCGAGAAGCTATTCGTGACGCTTCATTATCTGAACGTCGGCGTTTCTTTTGTTCGTACGACGGTAAATCTGCTTCAAAATAGGTTCGTGCTATACTCTTGCACATAATCTGCCCTTCTAATGGATGAAACGAAATGCGTCATCAGGTGGGTTTTGATCAGGTTCCATTCTGACTTCTGTTTGGGAAATGCTTTCACCAATAGCTTCACGAGCCTGTGTCAAGAGGGGGAGAATGAAAAAAGACCAGCCATTAATCCAAAGCCTGGAAGATGTACTCCAACACCCCCTCATTCAGCCGCTAACACACTTACGCAAGTGGTCTTTGCGTGCGCGCTGACGTACCTGCCCGCTTTCCGCTCTAGCTCTCGTAGGCTGCCCTCGGTGTGTAGGTGGCTGTTGCAGCAGCTATACCAATCAAGGTAAGTGCGTATCGCCTCGAGTTGTTCCGCATCTAAAATATCTGCCACTAAGAAAATTAACACCTGCAACGATGGGGATGTGTAATGGGTTTGAGTAATGACAGGAGGGCTCAAAGGCCTGGCCACGCACATTGTCATGGGTTGTGAGAAAGGGAGAGCCGTGGGATGTTGCAGGGATATTACAGGGGTGGGAGAAAGGAGACCCATAGGCCTGCGCAAGCACATTTAGGGTTAGGGGAGGGAGAGATGGGTAGAGCCGTGGGATGTTGCGGGGATATGACATGGGTGGGAGAAAGGAGAGGCTGGCTTTGTTGATAAGTAGGGGTGCCACCGCACCATGCCGATGGTAAGAGAGAAAGGGCAGGGTGGTGAGATGTGGAGTGAATGGGACCTAGGTGGGAGACACTATCGTCGACTTCATGACCACAAAAGGTGGGACAAATGTGTGGGAGAATTTCGGTCATACAGTGCATGGGGGGTAAAAGGGTTGTAAGGTCTTTCGAGAGGTGGTACTAAGGGGAAAAGCAAGTAGATAGAGCATAGCGGAGGGAAAGAGGAGGCATGCATGTCAAAAAATACACGGCTGGCCCAAACCCTTACCTGCATGAGCGTCCTATATAGGAGTGCTGGTTGCAAGATGCATCCTGCCATGGCAACCGTTCCTACCCATTGATTAGGAACGTACTTATCAAGCTTCTTCACCGCCCTCGATTTAGCTTGGCGAATGCACTTGTTAATGTGGTCCATAATCCCCAAATCCGCCATATGCATGATATCCAGCATAACTGCTAGATAAGGGTTCGCCCATGGATGGCCATTTATGGCCCATTGCCACAGTGCGCACTGCCAAACAATGTGGAGCAGTATACAACCCAGTGGATGATTATTTAGCACCACACCGAAATGACCATGCATACACAAACAACATTACATGGTCTACACAAGTTACAAAGTTGCACGAATCCCAAATCGCCCAAAAACAACACCATATGGAAACACTAATACTGTCCAGAAAACAGAGTCAGACTACGATGCAACTAAATCTTTGGACCTCACCCCAACTTGTAGAGCCATGGGCACATATGCAAGAGCTCACCTCAACGTCGAACGTCGAATACTTCGATAGCGTGCTGTCATCATCAGATGTTTCCCCCTCCGCCTGAGACAACACCCACTGTTGCTGTTCTGGAGTGCGTACAATGTGTTCCATGTTGACTGATGAGAGAATGCCGCAATAAGAAAAACATAGCGACTAAAGTTCTGCCACAGTTTGGCCTAGAGAGGATAGGTGACCATGGTACACAGGAAAAGATTGAGACATGCCATAGTGAGAATAGGAGGCTCTGTGAAAGGGAACCCATTTACCCCCGGCTCCCACACCTAAGGGGCAGTGGGAGATGGGGAGGAGGTAGGAAGGGGAGTGGGTATCCGAATTTGGAGATGCTAAGGGCTGGTCGGAGCACGTGCGGCACCACCGCTCTGAAAAGGAACCCGTTTCCCCCCTGCGCGACACCTGTGGGGCAGAGGGGGATAGGGTTGAGGTAGGAATGTGAGTGGGGATGAGGATTTCAGGTTGCTACTGGCTGGTGGCAGCACGTGCATCACTGGCGCTTTGAAAGGGAACCCGTTCGCCCCTTCCTCCACGACAGGGGGGCAGACGGAATATGGGGCGGAGGGAGAAAGGGGGATGGGCGTGAGGATTTGTTGCTACTCATGCGGCAGCTGGGCGTTGCGCCGGAACACCAACTCACTGAATTGGCAGAGATTACATTACCCTATCCACGTAGCAAAGGCTGCAAGGCTTCATGCAGCGCTGGCCGGAGAGTGTGCGTGTCAAGTTGCCAGATTCTGGGTAGTCACATGCCCACCCGAGCATCAGCGGTATCACCTTGTGCTCGACACCGTTGGCATCCTTCAGGGGTACACCCCTGCATATGACACACAAAAAGACGAGAGTTGGGCAAAATTTCAGGAGCATCATGTACTGGGGGCAGCGAACTACAATTAGACTGCACATAAGTACACACTTCTGACTTTACAACGCATCTCATCTTACCTTTCTTTCAGTTGAACCAGAGGTTCCATCAACTTGGCCACGCAAGTGTTGAAGATCTCAACCTTCAAGTCATTTGGCATGCCTTTCGGTGGTATAGGGAGCATTGCTAGCAATGAATGCCCTGCCGGACCCCACCGCTTAGGGAATGGGATGTTGCCAAGAGTCATCATAACTGGATGGGCCTGCTTTTTGCCATTACTGCTGAGGTGCGTGACGTCACTGTAGAAAATGAGAGCCGCTATCACAGCGTCAAGGCCAACCATTTCCTGCGAGCAAATGGTGTGTTGAAAACATCATTGGTTTATCAGTGAAATACATGGATTCACATAGTGGTGGAGATAGTAACCAGTTTTGAGAAAGACAAGCGACTGCATTGAAAAAGGGAACTCAGAATGCTGACATAAACAAAACACAATATGAGGCAACGTACTTGAGCCTCGTGCCACCATGTCCCAGTCTCTGCTGTGGTGTATGCACGTTGTCGACTAGTTGGGTCCACCTCCTTCCTTGGCCTGAAGCGGAAGCCATGTGCATTCTGTTTGGCAGACCACATGTCTGCCAAAGCCTAAAAAAAACCCAAAATAAGCAACCGTATGGCATACACAATGCATGGCAATCATGAGTAACACAGAAGTGGGGCAGCCAGGTGGCATAGAGTACACGGCCAAATGAGGAGGTAATGGCAGGCTGCAAGGCAACTAGTAGGGAGGCTAGGCATGAGAATAATGCAAGACGAGATGTGAACATGGCATTAAAACATGGGCACAGGGCAGACATAGCAACAGGAGAAGCATGACACCGGTCAAGGGAAGTGGGACATGAGTGAAATGGAGACATGGTAGAACGGCAGTGTGACATTGTTGATGGGAAGCGAGACAAAGAAACAGACAAGCATGAGTTGGTTTGGCAGACAAGAAATGAGCCGGGAGCATGGCAGGGAGACCTTGTGACACGGTAGTGTGGCATGGTAATAGTGACACAGTTTGGCATGAGCCGGGAGCATGGCAGGGAGACCTTGTGACACGGTAGTGTAGCTAGACATATAAACGTAGAAGCTAGACATGGGTGCATAGAAGTGAGACATGTCAGCAGGGGAGAGAGTAGGGAGGGGAGAGATGGAAGCGAGGGAGATTTCAGTGAAGGGAGACATGGCAGCGGGGGAGAGAGTATGTAGTGCAGACATGGCAGCAGGGGAGAGAGTAGGGAAGGGAGATATGGCAGCAGGGGAGAGAGTAGGGAAGGGAGAGATGGAAGCGAGGGAGATTTCAGTGAAGGGAGACATGGCAGCGGGGGAGAGAGTATGTAGTGCAGACATGGCAGCAGGGGAGAGAGTAGGGAAGGGAGATATGGCAGCAGGGGAGAGAGTAGGGAAGGGAGAGATGGAAGCGAGGGAGATTTCAGTGAAGGGAGACATGGCAGCGGGGGAGAGAATATGTAGTGCAGACATGGCAGCAGTGTGTTGAGCCGGGAAGGGATACTTGGCCGTAGGGGAGAGAGTAGGGAAACCAGACATTGCATCAGGGGAGGGAGAAGGGAAGACAGCTGCCAGCAGCGAGGTGTTGAGCACGGAAGAGAGAGATGGCAGCGGGGGAGAGAGTAGGGAAGGGAGAGATGGCAGCAGGGGAGAGAGTAGGGAAGGGAGAGATGGCAGCAGGGGAGAGAGTAGGGAAGGGAGAGATGGCAGCAGGGGAGAGAGTAGGGAAGGGAGAGATGGCAGCAGGGGAGAGAGTAGGGAAGGGAGAGATGGCAGCAGGGGAGAGAGTAGGGAAGGGAGATATGGCAGTAGGGGAGAGAGTAGGGAAGGGAGAGATGGCAGCAGGGGAGAGGCATGGGAAGGGAGAGATGGCGGCGATGGGAGAGAGCAGTGAAGGGAGGCATGGCAGCGGGGGAGAGAGTATGTAGTGCAGACATGGCAGCAGTGTGTTGAGCCGGGAAGGGATACTTGGCCGTAGGGGAGAGAGTAGGGAAACCAGACATTGATGCAGGGAAGAGAGTAGGGAAGGGAGAGATGGCAGCGATGGGTGAGAGCAGGGAAGGGAGACGTGGCAGCGAGCATGGAAGGCAGAGATGGCAGCGAGGGAGAGAGCAGGGAAGGGAGACGTGGCCGCAGTGGATAGAGACATTGGTTGACATATAAACGACTTACGTGAAGTGGATTTCGGCGCAGCATGACCTGATTGGGCCAACACTCGACCACGATGGTGGTTGTCATGTAGCCGCGCCCGGAGATTGCCAGGTACTCGAGATGGAGCCTTTCGAGATCCCGCGAGTTGGAAATGTTTGCGTCGACGAGATTCTTTGCTAATTCGGGATGCAATAGTAGTTGCAGTAGTCTGTTGGTATTCATCTTCGAGATTCCGTCACCTCCATTCACGCCGTCCACGAGCTGCAGCAACTTGAGAAGCGCTGGGGTAATCTTCACATTGGGAGATGATGGATCAGATGTGCCCTCGCCGCAGTCCGGAGGCGGTGCAGGGGGTATTACTGACGGTCCCTCCTCCCCGGGCTCGGAGGATGTGGAGGTTGAGGGCATATCCTCTCGAGCGGCCGTCTCACCATTGCCACCAGACACTGGTGATGGCATCTCAGCATCGCGATTGGACTCTGGATGGTGCGATTGCGGGCTCGCCGAGGTGTTGTTATCAGCAGATGCCACCCTACGTCTAACGCTGCACCTGTAGGTAGGAGCAGGGACGGCATACACGACCCCGACACTTGCGTGAGTCGAAGGGCCGGGTGCTCCTCGCCGTGATCGCCATGGCGCGCATGGCGAGTTTCCACCTAGGTGCCTGCCCAGCACTTGCGCATTTGCGCAGCATTTCCCGCAGACGCTACAGAAACAGGTCTCCGCGCAATCCATCTAATCGACAGCTGAATAGGAGGAGGGTCGACTACCAGATGTAATTGGCGCGCATAAATGTGTTTTACACGCGGCAAACCCCATGACGAGACGATTATGTAGTACAAGGAGGTGGGCGCCTAACCAAGGGGCCAACGTGCCCGTTGTTGTTGTCATTGTCGAGGCCCGCCAACAGTGAAACGAGGCCGTTCTACAAAGGAGGGGCGGGAAAAGGCGCAGCATCGTAATAAGAATGGTGACGCCTGACGTGGCTACAGATATTAGGGTTACGCACGGCTTAGTGTATGGGAAGGTATAAGGAAAGACAAAAATGTGGGAACTTGGATTTGAATCCTGAAATCTATACCCTATATAGATGCCTAGGGTATAAACAGGGATGAAAGAATGAATACCTATACTGTCTGAATTGTGCGTTGGTGAAAATGACCATGAATTATAGAAACCATACGCACCAAGGGAACAACCCAAACCCTAACCGGGATGGTGCGTACAGTCCACCCAGCGTCGCCTCGCCAACCCCGAGTCGCCGTTCCGCATGTGTGAAACGAGCAGGTAACGGGTAACCTAACCCTAATTTTGCCAACTCAGAACAATGCACAATCGGAAACTCGTGGTGGCTGCAGCGCGGCTCGCAGAAGTTGACCTCATGGGTTACCACCGCTATAAGGTGCTTCAGGCGGTCCATTCGTTAGCCCCACACCTCAACTTAAACACATACGTGGAACTTGCAATGGCAGCACAAATCGTGCAAACATCGCACGTCGAAAGCTGCAACTCTTTTCATGCACAGCTCGATTACTATAGCGAGTGTTGCGCCTTTCCAGTGCGCATCGCCCGGCAGCGCCACGCCGGAAACTGGAACAACATAGGGTCTTTTTGACCATTACCGGATTTGCCGCCGACGCAGTCGGTACCAGCCTCGCAGATACCCCGCGTGACATAAAGTGCAAGACATTAGAGAACTATCACATTCTCTTTCGTATTCAGCTTGTGCTCGAGATCGTTTCTGATAGTATGCGCGATGAAGCGGAAAAGCACAGATTACTCCCATACTCAGAAGGTCTCACCCGCCCAGTATATTCCTCCGCCGATGGAATCGCAAGGAGACTCGGACGACGTCACCCCGCATGCGCCGCCTGTCAACGCGCTGCATACCGTGGCCGGAAGGCGTGAGGCGCGCGGCGTGGAGGCGTTCATGGATATGATGAGAAGGATCTCCAAGGACCGTGGATATGAACTCGACACTCAGAAACTGTACCGTGAACGTGATAAGCAGACCCTTGCAGACGCGGAGAAGAACAAGGAGCAGGAGGATCCATCGCCCGCCCCGTCACCAGTTGCTGCAGATCCATTGGAAGATGCCGATGCGACTTCTGCGCCTTCTGAGCAGGAGCCAGGCCCGTCACCTATAGCCGCAGGGCGCGATGCCGAAGCTACTGCTGAGCCGAAGCCAGCCCTGTCACCAGTAGCCGCACCGTTCGCGGGAGGTGCTGAAGCTACCGCCGAGCCGACGCCAGCCCCGTCACCAGTAGCCGAACCGTTCGCAGGAGGTGCTGAAGCTACCGCTGAGCCGAAGCCAGCCCCGTCACCAGTAGCCACACCGTTCGCGGGAGGTGCTGAAGCTACCGCTGAGCCGACGCCAGCCCCGTCACCAGTAGCCGCACCGTTCGCGGGAGGTGCTGAAGCTGCCGCTGAGCCGACGCCAGCCCCGTCACCAGTAGCCGCACCGTTCGCGGGAGGTGCTGAAGCTACCGCTGAGCCGACGCCAGCCCCGTCACCACTCGCACCTGCCCACGAGGGTGCTGCTGAAGCTACCGTGGGACCAGATCCTGCTCCAAAAGGCGGAGACTACCTGCCTGCACCCGTGGACGCGCATGCCAACGCTCCCCAAGCCACTCCGGATGCTGGCGACGTGGGTGAGGTGTGCGGCCATGTCCAGTCGCCAAGGGAGATGTAGCGTGGTAAGCTGAAGTATTCCGTTTGCCGCAAAGTTCCAAACAATTGGAAAGGAACCTGTTACCTGCCTGATGTTTCTTGCATGATGTACCATTGCGCAGGTGTGCTCCGCACCATAGTGGAGGAAGGGACTGCCATAGCTGGGGTCAACCTTGCTGCGAGGTTTATCACAGTCACTGAGTATCTGTTGGGAATCAAGCACGTTAGATAAAGATGTAGTGTTAATTTGGAGCAGGGTTTAGTTCTTGAATTTGAACAGCTGAGGAGATTTGTGTGAAAAGCGGTTGCTTAGGGGTCCTGGTTTAGCGTTTGTTTGTTGTTATGTTCCTATCAGGTATGTGTGTGGTTAGAAGTAGAGCAAGCAGTGCCTCATCCCTATGATCAGATCTATGGGAGCAGTGTATGATTGGTGATTTTGCAAAATGTTCAAGAGCAAGCTATATGGTATGTAGTTTCACAGTTGCTTGCAGAACAAGGCCTGCAAAATACATCAAAACTTATTGTGAAGAGTTGAAAATATAGGGGGGATGTAGATTTAAAGCAAGGATTGTCTCATCCAAACACCATGTCATTTGGGGCAGAGTAGAAATGGTGATTGACTAATGGTGCAAGAGCAGGCAATGTCGCATGAAGTTTCACAGTTGCTCACAGAACAAAGCATGATATACCTAGCAAACCTTACTCGAAAGAGCTGAATTCATGTGGGAAAGAGCTGCTACGAATATCATATGGTGTATAGTAGTGGGCACTCTGTCAAAACATGCCTAGATGTATTTGCATCTAGGCAATAGAGGGGCAAGTAGTAGAGCTGTACAAAGCAGCAGAGCTGTAGCAGTGGCAGGAGGGAGTTCGCGGCAGCAGCAGTGCTATAGCGGCACCAGCAGGGGTGTAGCGTGCTAGCAGTGGATGTAGCAGCGACAACAGGGGCTGTAGAGGCATCATGTAAGTTGTAGCACGACCGCAACAGAGCTGTAGCTGCAGCAGCAAGGGCTGTAGCAGCGGCAGGAGGGCTGTAGCTGTGGAGAGTCACTCTACAAGGTAGTGAGCTAGACAACGGGTGGGTCAACACGAACTACTAGGAGTGATCAAGGGTTTGCTTCGTTCCTTTGCGCTTGCGCATTCACGGGAGAAATCGGCAAAAGTTTCACTAGGCACAGATTGCATTCGAGAATAATTGAACCGGCAATCAAAGGACGACGGCGTGCCAACGCTGCAGCAGTGCGGTTGTCCAGCGTTGCACCCGTAGACCGCTGCAGTGCGCACGCTCGCAGGTGCGCGCAGACCATTGGCCCGACTTGTGCTGTTGTGTATCCGTCGGCTGTTGTCTGCGCCTTATGAGCCACAATTACTTCGGGATACCAGCCAGAAGTCGCCTTCGTCACCGCGACTTCGATGACGTTCACGTGCCCATCGAGCAGCCCCCTCACTGTGAACGATCGATAGCTTCTCCCGTACATCCGACCTTGTCGTCGGCATTGCCCAAGCGAGGGCGGGGCCAACAATCCATTCCCGTTAACAGTGCCCTGCCGCGCTCACGCTTGGGCCCCCAGACCACACCGCAGTACTTCACGAACAGAACTCGTCCTCGGCGTGCACCCCACATACAGCACGCCGTCAACGCACCGGATGTGCAGAAGGGCACGGCACCCACTGCTGCACCTCGTCGTCCCTGTCGCCGACGTCGGCCAGGCGCACTTGGCCAATGGCGACAGTGCACCGGTTGAAAGCTGGAAAATGCAGCGCCTTCGTCATGAAAGAGGCCGGCAGCTCGGTGGTCGGGATGTACTTCGGCACGAACTTCCTGCGCCTCACCATGTGCTGCAGCCAGGCGTGCTTGTCGCGCCAGTTGTGCTTGTCGCCTGCGTCGTCGGCGTCCACGTAGCCGATCAGCTCCAGCGACTCTGGTCCACCGCCGGACTCGAGGGCGGTGTCGCGGGTGTCAGCGAGGTAGGCGAGGCAGCGGTCGACCTCACGCCAGTGCTGGTCGCTCCTCACCTGCGCCTGCCGCTCCCCAGCTTGCTGCAAGCGAGCGCGATGTTCGGCCTCGTCGTCGTCGCCACGACCTGCAACGAGCCAACCAGCTGCCGGTACTCCTCACTATGTCGCGCTCTTGGGCCTCCTCGTCGTCGAACGTCAGCTCAGGCTAGGCGTCGACCAAGAACGGCGTCTTTGGGACTCGACGGCCCTGCTTCTCGTCGATGAAGCGCCTGCGCAGATTGTCGGCGTAGCCCTGCTGATGCAGCCACAGCTTCCTTGCCTGCCTGTCGCGCACGATCTCCAGCCGTAGACACGACCCCCTCAACCTCTTCCCCGCCCACCCCGAAACCTCCAACCCACAAGGCATGACGGCTGGATGGGACGCAAGCAAGGAGGAGGAGTGGAGAGGCGGCTGCTGGAGTGAGGAGAGGAGGAGGAATGGAGAGGCGGCTGGAGGTGAGGAGAGTATAGGACAGGACTTTGTTGTCATGCTTGTGGTTGGGTCCTGGAGTGCGGTAACGGGTGGAGAGTGGTGCAGGCGCAATGTTGGAGCGTTTGCTAAGTTCTTCGGCATACTTAGCTGCTGAGAGATGAATGGCTTATGGCGAGTAGGAGATATTCAGCCCAACGAACTGCTTCACGTCATGTTTGCATGTGATGTCGACGCGCCCCGCGAGTTTCTTAAGTGCCTTGCGGTGGCGATGGCGAGCAGAATTATGACGGAGGTCTGACGGCTGACCGGCGCAAACCTCTGGTCATACATGAACATACCGTGCCTCTGGTCGTACCCGCGCACGACACAGCGCGCCTTGAATCGCTCCATTGTGTCATCTGCTGCGGTCTTCACACAGAAGACCCATTTGCCCGAGAGGATCCTGATACAGTTTGATTGCTGCTCGATCGACGAGCACCCAGGTGTCGCATAACTCAAGCGCCTTGATTTCCCAGTCCAATGCTTCTCCTTGCTGTGTGGTCTCGTCAGGGCTTGGTGCGGGTTCTTTGGTTCAATGACACGTGGCACCGTTGAAGTGGCGGTGTGGAGCCCGAGAAGCTGTAGTCCTGAGACGGTTCTGTCGTGGCGATGTTGCTGCACGTCATCGTCATCGCTCTCTGGTTCAGGTGGTGCCGCTGCGCGAATGTTCCGCTTCATCCTGCTCCGCCGAATCCTCCTGCTCCGCCGACGCCTCCGCCGACTCTGCTCCTCTGCTTCGCGTCGCGCCAGCTCCTCTTCTTGTGCGATGGTGAGTTTCTTCCTAGGGTCGGGGTCGCGCCAGTGGGGGTAGATCTTCTAGGACGCTTCCTCCGTGTAGGGGCGCGGAGTTCCTTACGCGTCGAAGGTGCCGATGTTCGTGCCGCGCAATATCCCTTGGAGATGGCGGGATGCGGGTCCGAGGAAGGGATGTTCCTCCGTGCCGTAGATGTTGCGCGTCGCAATCTCAAGCTCCATGGTCAACAATCCTTCCTCAGGTGGCGCAAATCGCTCAGCTTCGGCGATAACCGCGAGTCCGCGTCTAGCGATGGCGCTCGTCGAAGCAGTCGGCGTGTGGCAATCCCATGGTCTCCCATCGGGGTGCTTCCAGTCAGAGTGGTGAATATGCTCGAAGCTCAGAGGAACGAGGTCGATCAGCTCCTTCGAGTCGTCGCTGCAATTGGGGATGTCGAAATCGAGGATCTACACTCCGTTCTCGGAGTGTGCCCGTCCGATGTGCCAGCGCGCCTTCTTCAGCGCCGTGTAGTGCAGGAGAATGTCACGCGTGCGGAGGTCGGTGCTGAGCTCGACTCCGCAAACCATTAGTTGTGCCGCGGAGAGGAAATTAAAGCGCAGGTTCTAGAAGCACGACGATTCCTTGCGCGTTTGCGCGCAGGCGGGTATTGTTCGCAACGGTGACATAACTGACCGTGGGGGTTGCGACGGCGTTGTGGACGAAACGCTCGGATCCGACCATGTGCTACCTACTGCAGCTTTCCAGGTACCAGGTGTTGCAGCGCTTCCTGTCGTCACGTGCAAGCAGCGCCAGTCGCGGCGTGACGATGTGCGGCGTGTCAAACTTCAGAAATTGCTCGCACAAGATCCAATCGATCGGTTCTAAACGTCTTGTCGGCCCGACCGGTTGCTCGGATTGGTCTAGCGAGGGCGAGATCGGAATTTGCATGGATACGACAGGTGCCCAAAGTTTCTGCAAGTTTTGCAGTAGAGGCGCCGCGGCCGTCGCTCTTCCGTGTTGTATGCATAGAAGGCGAGGCAGGGTCTCGGTCTCGTCGTGGCGCATGTTGCTGCTGATCCATGTCTGCGTGTTTTGCACCAGCAGCTCCAGCTCGAAGCTCCTCGTATAAAAGTCATTGCCGTCAAAACACACACATGTCTCAGCTAGGACGGCGGTCCCAATCGTCGTCGTTTCCTCACTTGTCGCAGCCGGGTTGGGCTGTGCTTCAGCGGTCAGATTTCTTCTGACCTCCAGATCCACCGGCCATTCTGTCTTCGTACTCGGTAGAGTCGGCTCTTGCAACATACAGGAATGCCGGCTCATAAACTTTCATATCGTAACATACTCTAAGGACCTCAAACCCTTTTTGCAGCGATACTCAACTGTGCGACTCCAGACGGTTACGAACTGCCTGGGCTACAATACTCGCCACTGCTGCTGCATGATGCTGTCTGCCCTGACGGTCCAGACGCTTCGTAACCGTACGACCATTCGCGTCACTTCCGCCTTTTCGTCCTCAGACTCGGTACTGCATGCTTCGATTGCTACTGCCAGGAGTGCACGGCATACACTTCAGCTTTTACAAGTCGACCGCCAACACAGCATGGTTGACCGCCTGCCAGGCTTGAGCAGAGGAGCTGCGCAAGCGCTGTGGAAAGGCGGCCTACCAACAAAGTTATGGCGAAGATACCCACGTCGCCAACCTTTCGCCTGCACTGTGACAACCACAGCGCGACCAGGATTGCGAACAAGCCTGGATTCGTCAACCTGCGGTATTTTTTCGTCAAGTACGAAGTCGACAAAGGCAAGGTCGATCTGACCTATTGCCCGACGGTGGATATGGCAGCTGAATCTATCACGAAGCGACTACCACGTCGGCAGTACCAGCGCAGCTCCAAACTCAGTGGGGTAGTGATGCAAGTCAAGGCCTGCTACGGCCTGGTTTGAAGGGGGGTGTTACAATTTTCCCTTGGAGTAATAGAGGCTGGTGAATTCACTAAAAAGTGCATAAGATGGCATCGTCGTTGGA